TTTGAACGCAACTGTCCGTGGCTGTCTCCTCTATTGGTGGAGTTGGCCCAATCACGCCGTAGCGCCACTTCTGTGGACGTCATAGAAGTGTTCACAATCTGGATTCAGTCTTATCAGATCCGTTGCAGCCTTTTTAAGAGATTTGTGTATTGGAGGAAAATAGATGAGGTGGTTTTCTGACACTCTGTGAGTTCCTGGAACACCGGGGACACATGTTCATGTATACCAAGACGTACAAAAGTGCATTTCTGCATGATGAGGTCAACGTTTAATGTGTGTGGCCGTATACATCACTAGTGCATTAGGGTTAGGTTAATTTCACCAAGCATTAAGGGAAGCTAAGATAAAACAGACACTCTTGTTGTCTAAGCTGGTTACCCTATGTGCTTTTGGGGTTGTCTGTAGTGAGGTTGGAGTATATTAGGTTTACATTAAATGGTCTGCTCGGGCTAAAATCCCTCCGGAGGGAGTTTCTCGCACACTTTACGTGCTGTTTGTGTAGGATTTAGGAAACAAAACAGTTGTCATATTAAAAGAAACTGGTATTTTTAATCTTTGGAGAGATCCGGCCGGCACTCCAGCGTAGATATATAAGGTTCGAAGGTTCTTGATTTGGTCTCGAAGCCTAACGAAGCTAGCAGATTAAAAATTATGCCGTTGAAAGTGCTATAGGTTCCAGCTCTCTCCAACAACATGCAATACAATGAATACAAGATAAGCAGACAAGTATTTTAACAACCAGATCATTAAAGTAATACAAATCAAAGAAAAAATAGTTTAAAAGAAAGTGGAATCGTGCAATACGAGTCTATAAAGTTTTGGGAATGATTATATTAGAAATAGATAAATAATTACAGTTTCAACTATTAAAAGAGGCAGGTAAACGAACAGGAAGACACAATCATTAAACACAGAAGGATGAGACTCAATAAGCAGTTTGAGCTTCTTCCTAATAAGTTGCCATTTCCTGTTTTATTTTATGGATGCACCGAATATCGGCCACGCGAGATATTAGTCGGCCGAAAATGGTTAAAAACAGCACCGAAAAAATAATACACCGAATGTCAGAGAACAGGGTTACGTTGATCATACTCCGCATATTTGTCCGGGTGTTTTGATTTCAAGAGGTGGAGTAATCCCGAAGTGGTGAAAGTCTTTGCAGTTACACCCCCTCGAGAAATGTCAGCTGAACACGTTTTACAAATCGCAATCCATGCCTCTTTCTCTGATATTTTGAAATATCTCCAAGCGGCAGACATGTTGGCTGTGAGCCAGCCGCGAGCATGGTCGCGCGCCGTGCTTGTCGCCGCGTTTTGATTACGTCATCACAACAACACGTTAGGTTACCAAACTTATAGGTGCATTTGTTGTTGTTGAAGGCCTGGCTGTTACAGTCTTTATTTACACTATTTTGTTGTAGGCCTACTGGCCTAGATGTTTATGCAGGTTTAAAGCACCTTGGCTTTGTTCTGAATGCACTTTGTTGTAGTTATCCTACAGAGAAAAAAAAATGCACTTGACTTGGAATTAATGTACTGTATGCATTCAAAAGTGCTGAATAAATGTTTTATGGACCCATAATAGTGATTATTATTTAAGTTAAGTTTTGCCATAATCATTTATTTTTCCATAATCAGGCAGCTGAACAACATTGGTAAAAAATGTATACATTATATATATATATATATATATATATATTTCTATTAATCATTTTCGGCCTTTCGGCATTCGGTTTTCGGCCAACTGTTTCCTATTTTCGGTATCGGTTTCGGCCAAGAATTTCCCATTCGGTGCACCCCTAATTATATTGCAGTCTTAGTGTCACCAACTCGTTTCTAATATGCAAAAAGACAAATAAATGCGTCGATAATGTATTTTCGATCAGACGAGATCTCTCTCCCCCGTCTGTGTGCGAGGGGGCGGGGCAGTTTACACACACGCGGCTGCTACATGCAGCAACACACTGCGGAGATGGCGGAGAGAACGCGCTCCAAGGTGTGGTTAAACTTTACCCGTCTCGATGCTTGTTGCCAAAAGTGCTTAAGAGTTTAGCATGTAAGGGCAGTAACACGAGCAATTTGTCTAAACATCTTGCAAAAGTGCACCACATTCAGACGGAGGAATGCACAGGGTTCGACTGTCTTTCTAGCAGCTCTGTAGCCCCATCCACGAGTAACGTTTCCACGTCAGGTGTTATGCAGCAGCAACACACGGAGTCAACTCAATGATACAAACATGGGTTAATGATTAGAGGTAACAGAGTTACTCTTTATTTTGTTACAAGTTTCAGCTATTCTGTTTACAGCTCTGTCATCAGATTATTTAATATGATTTGTTAAAACATTGTTGTTTCTTTTGATGTGAAATATTATTTATTTTATTTAAATAAAAAGCAATGTTAATTTTGTTCAAAATGTGTTAAGTTAATTTAATAATATATGTATTTTTGAATCAAGTATTCATCTTTATTGTCTGCATACTGCTCTCACAGTACTAGGGATGCCAGCGATTATTCGATTTTTCGAATATTCGTTACAGTCGCCATAATCGAAAATTATTTTTAAATTTTTTATTTTATTTATATATTTTTTTATTATTATTTATGTTTTTCTTTTTTTTCCTGGCTTAGTTTTAGCCAAAATATAGACTAATGCTAATAATAGCATTAGTATTAATAATTGTAAATGGCCATTGGTCACACCACCAGTTTGTTTTACTTTAAACTTGGAGGAAGCCAGCAGCGCAGGCTGTGCAGAGTGCAGACTGCGCTAGGCCAAATGGTTGGCCCTGGTCTTGCTGTATTACCTTTACTGGACTGGATAGTATTCTGCAAAGAGCAATATAACGGATTTTTCCTGAGCAGTTTCTCGGATGCTTGTTTTTTTGGATTGGTAAATGTAGGTAAGATCACACAAAAATCTGCACAGAAGTTATCTGTAAATAGATGCATGTACATTTGAAAATACAATGGGATATATTTTTTTCTTTCTTACATGGCATTCTAGAACAAATTATGCCTGGTTTACAACTATATGGAGATATCTTTATATGCTTTGTGATTTACGAGAAAGCCCTCAGTATGGCCTGTTTCTTTTCTCTTTACTAAGATTGTTGTGGGATGGCACACCATGCTAGTCCTAGTGGGGCAGGAGCAGAGAGCCAGCTCAGGGCCCTGGAGGTCATAACATGTCATATTTTTTTGTCTTTGCATGTTCTCGGCTGCCTTTTATTTTATTTGGCCAAACGATGTGGTGATGTTCAGTGTTCAGTTAAACATAACTTTGTAATCAGTGAAGAAAGAAACCTGGAAGCTTGGCAAGCAACTGAAGCACTCCCAGTTATATCCATAGGGAACTACCGTAATTTTCGGACTATAAGCCGCACCTGAATATAAGCCGCAGCAGCGGCATACCACTCTCGGTTCCACTTTTGCGCGCTACCTGTCTCACTCTTTTCCGGCCTCCAGCTTTTCCTGCTGGAACCCGCCGCTTAAAGGTGGGGGTCCGCGGACCGGCCATAGAGCCCATAGAGTTAAAGGTGTTGGCCGTTAGCTGTAAAAATCCATAGATTAGCCGCACCGTTATATAAGCCGCAGCGTCGAAAAATAGGGAAAAAGGCGCGGCTTATAGTCCGAAAATTACGGTAGTCTTTTCTGTTGAGTGTGTTGGTGGAAAATCTTCTGAACGGTTTTGCACGGCACCAGCAGAAAATAGTGACTCTGGATTTCACAATTGTTTCGAGTTTGCAATGCTGTGTTTTTTGTTCATTTCAGAGCAATCACTTTCAGCCACGTATCAAGGACCTGCTCACCCTCAGTCCTGCTGATGTAGAACATTTAGGGGGGAGCTTTACCGCTCGTCACTGATCCCATCCCGCAGGACTCGATCAAATACTTTGGCTACATATAGGGCATCTCAGTGACTTTTTTTCCTCTTTTGTTTCCTTGAAAGTGAGCATCAGCAGTATAAAAAGCATGGTTATTTATTGTGACAGTGTCATGTTTCTTTGATTAAAAAAAGTGGGAAAATATACACATGAAATTCAAGATCTTTTTAAAGACTATTCCATTATAGTATCTACATTGAGGTGAGCCCCTAATCCTTCTGTCCCCCGTGCCTAGTTGAAGTGAATGGACCTATACAGCAGTCAAACTAGTCAAGTAACACAAGGCAATAATTTGATTTGCGTTTTGGGTAAAGACATTGTTAGGAAAAAAAAAATGTTGGCACTTTAAAAATTGGGAAAAAACTCACAAGTAAGAATCATTTGTCAACAGTAACTTGTACAGGAACTGATCAATAACTGAAAGCAAGGTCATGTTTAAATCTGCCAATTATATTACAGGAGAACACAATGTCCTTGTACAACAAATTGAAATAACTAAGACTCATCTCTTACCTGCTGTAACCCCTGAGCTCCAGACACAGGGACCTGCATTATGGTTTGACCCTGTCCCCCCGACATGGCCTGCACCATTATGGGTTGCCCTGATGATGTGATGAGCTGCCCGCCGCTCACCTGGACCATCAGAGGCTGTCCCTGGACCTACAGAGAGATACAGAAAGCTGTTACAGCACCACTGCCAGTGTTTGTTACCTCAATATCACTGACGTGTGATTAACAAGACAAATGATGTAAAATCAGAAACATCAAGGATACCCCACCATGGATAAATATTTGATGATTTGCTGCTCTGCTATATACAAACATGAAACCATCCAGTTCAATAGTAAATCCAAACTCAATGTACAGTTTATCCTTAACATACAATTGTGAAATACCTGCCTGTAATCAGTGTTTATTTACTGTAATACCGATGCTGAACCAAATGGTAAATCAAGTTTTTTGTTCACTTGTTTTGCTTAATAAATCGAATTAATTTGAATGCATATATCCAACTTGAAGAATACAGAGGTCCAATTGGCATCAATTATAAAATATAAAATGAGTGACTGCAAAAGACAACTGAAAGCCTTTGGCCGCAGTTGTACCACATGGAAAAATACCAGAGTTTAAGGAATGTACTGCCATTATGCCACAACAAGACAATAAGGAAAATATAGCTAGATGATGAGAAGTGACAGCGAGTAATGACTATGGATCCATGCTGTTCCTGCTAAGTTCAAAACACATCCATAAGGCTTGTGTTTCAGATATATTTCATCCTCACTGGGTAGAACAACATCTGACTTGCATATCTTGCAAGAGATAAACATAACTCAGACAAAGAGGAGTCATGAGAGCAGGAATCCTGAGGCTGACACACAACAAACTGTGCTGAGGAACATGCAGTTCAGGCAGCTTTAGAACATGCTAGGGAGGGAGGATGAACCAAACAGCACAGAGATGGGTCATGAAACACAGCCCTGGTTGTAGCATGCAAACTGGTAGGCTGTAACACGTTTGTGACTCTGACAGGGAGGCGGCGTTGACACCACTACCTGGAGTGTTTGCACCTGCTGGCCTGAGGCCGTCACCACTGGCGCCTCTGTCTGCAGCTGCACAGCCGTCACTGTGCCCTGTGTCTGCAGGCAAGGCAGGATAATACAGGACAATACAGTCTCAGATAATAATAAAATAATTACGAGGAAGAGAGGCTTTGACTGGGATCCACTGGAACGCTTTAGTTGTGGGTGCCTGTTACCTGCGATCTTATAGCATACAGTGCAAGTGTTGTAGACATTTCTTTATCAAAACCACGTTTTTTCAGAGTAAATCCTGTTACCTGCTGTTGGATCTGTCCATTGGAAGTCTGCACAACTATTTGCTCCCCAGTAGAAGTGGTGGCAGTGGTGTACTGCTCCATGGCTTGTTATTTGTCAAAAATCTCTCTGAAAACCTAAGAAAAACACACACAGTATGAGCTTGAATTAAATCTATGATTCTTAATCATATATTTTTTATTTGTACATCATCTCACAACCTCACATCACCCAGGGGAAAAAACAAGTGGTTTCCAAACGATATCTAATGTTAGTGTTGTTTGATTAGACAATATTTAAACAGGCACGGCCCTTTATATTTCCACTAATCATCGTATGTCAAATGTAATGTCTGACATTTAAAGGAGATTGTATTGAACCCCTGATTATTTGATATCAGCTGCTGGCTTGGTTTAACGAGGTGTTGTGCTAGGTGTCGTGAGAGCTCAATGCTAGCGTCAGTCAGCTAGCGAACAGCGTGGTAAACGCTAAAAAGCAAATAAGGGAGGATAGTCAACAGGTAAAAAGCTGCCTTTAGGTGCACGTTTAGTATGAGGTTAGCTAAAAAATAATGATAATTTGCCAGGCGACGTCTACTGATAGGAGGACGTTGGCTTTTTCAACCCGCCCTTTGTTTGAGATTCCCTTTAGCTAACGTTAGCAAAGGCTTGTCGACCACCACAGATCATGTTTCCTCACAGCAGCCGAAAACAAGCATTTATTATCAGTCTAACCGGTCCGAGGCACAGCGGTCGAAATAATACTGACATTCGATTTTGTTGCATTTAGCCGGGTTAGTAATTTGGTTGGTCCATGGCAAACCAATCCGTGCTGACAACTACGAATGCCTTCAATCGGGTTTCCCTTACCGTATCTTCACTGTCCGGTTTCCCTCTGATTGGCTCCAGCCTCCAGTACAGCTCGCTAAAGCCCAATCAACAAAGTGAGCGGACAAAATGGCGCAAATGAAAAAACTGAGCCTGGGAGGAGGTGCGCAGTAGCGTGACACACGAGTACCCAGGGAAAGCGTGCAGGGCCCGGGGCGCCCGGCGGGGGGCGCCACTGGGCTACCAGGGCTGGGTTTTTACAGCTCCCTTGGGCTTGTCACAAAGTAAAAATAGATAGAAAGTTTATAAATAAAATAAAATGACATAAAGAAATAACTACGTTTAGGCGTCTTCACATTCCATAAATTTCACATACTTCAACTGTTTATCATTAAGGAGAGGCTCACTAGTTTATTTAATAGCAGACTCTTTAAGGCAGAAATAACAGGGATCAACCTCAAATCCAAACATTCTTTTCAGCGTTTCTGAATGTGTTGATAGTTTTCCTATGAAAAATTACAATTACTATATTCATCCCAGCTAACATTTAAATAAATGTGCAAATGCTTTATAGTGACATTGATAAAGATTTTTTGAAATATAGCTATTTAAAAATACAAAAAAATCCTGTTTTATGATAACCAATTATATTAACCCATGAAAAGCAAATAATATATATTTTAGAACAAATAGTACTCCTCTAATTTGTTCCAATGTTATTTGACCAACTGTTAATGCTTTACATGTCAAATACATTTTAAATTTGTATTTGAAAACATTCTCATAATGTTGTGGTTTACTGTAAGGTGCAATATGTTCAATGTTTCTTTTTAAAGTAATCCAAAAGTACTGATATGAAATTACACTTTTTTTTTGTTCATTACCTTGCACATTTAGTACATTTCCATGTATCTTGTACTCGGCACCTGGCTGGCCTACTTTCCTAAGTAACACTTACCAACACTGCACCTCCACTCCGGCAGGAGGCAGAACGGCGCAGCCTTCCTGTAGTTACAGTCATGTGTGCGGAAGTCCATGCAAGAGTTTCCTGCTGGGATGGTGGCATGACAGTTGAGGAGGTATTCTTGTTGAGTTAGCCTTAGTTAACAGAACAAGCAAGTTATCTAATTGTTATGAACATGTGGACGGTTTGACTTCTGGACGTGCGTTACTCCTCTCTGGCTTAACAAGCTCATGACATTGTCTGAAAAAGGAGCACACAGCGACTGTGAGCATGGCCAGACCTCTGCAGGTCCTCTCCCTCCTCTACAGGCTCGGTGCTCGCTCAGTCATGCCCTCTGTTTCTATTACCAGCTGTCGATTTGCGAGCAAAGCATTGAACAAGGCACAGAGTCATGTGCGCAGAGACAAGGTTCCCAACAGAGCCCAGAGAGACAGCGAGGAGATGTCTGACGAGGAGCTGGAGGATGTGGAGGACAAACTCCAGGTCCTTTTTAAGTAAGAGTCAACATTATTCCACCATGAAATAAACAACATAATATACAATGCTGTGTGGGTTGTCTTTTTATATTGCCTATAACTTCGTATTCCTGCATTTTACTTGCATTAGTATATCCTTCGCACTTTTTTTGTACATATTTGTATGTCCTAGAGTAAGTATATTGTATTGTTGGAGGAGCCTGGGATCATAATGGCCAAACATATCTAAAATATAACCATGTCTCCCATATGTTTCAGTGAGCAGAGAAAAAAGCAGAAGACTGTGAAATATCACATACTGAGAAGGCAGATGACTCCACCAGGAGCTCCACAGAGGAAGCTCACCTGGGATGCTATCGAGCAGATCAAGTGAGGGTCTTTCAATACTAACGAACAACTCCCAGTTCATGTCATGGACGCCTGCATATAAGTAAAACTCCTATTTCATTAATGGAACCTTGCAAAAGCCTATAGATGTAGCCTACTCCAAATTCTTTTTTTAGGTAATGATATTTTGGATTTTTCTCTCAGTTCGGGTGAAATGTGTATCATAATTCAAGAAACCCTAAGGATACATGGAACATTTAGTTGCTAGAAGTTAAGTTGTAGAGTTAATTAAAATAAATTAATAATGTTTTACGTGAAGGAAAAATCAAATTTTTCTTATGTGCAGTATTAATGCAGTTCTATGACATTTAAAGGTAATCTGGTCCTGCTTCATGAAGATATTTGACTGCATATTTTCCCAAGAATGATTATATATTTTCTTTGATATTTTTTCATAGGATAGTGTTATTATTAATTGCAGGTATTAGGGGTGTAACGGTTCACAAAAACTTCGGTTCGGTAGTCGGTATGTACCTCGGTTTTTAGGTCACGGTTCGGTACGTTTTCGGTACAGCAGAAAAAATTATCACAAAGCATAACATATTTTTGGGTTTTTTTGAATTATTATTAAACTGTGAATAATGTATTCACTCAAATAAATACAAAATATAATAAAATAAACATTAACGTGCAGCATTTCGATGAACTGAAATAATATGTATTTGAACTGTACGTATACCGTTACACCCCTAGCAGGTATGTTTTAAAAGGGTCATGTAATAACTTGATTTATTTTCTCAAGAAAACTGTGCCATGATCTTAGAGATCTTGGTGAATTGGTATCCAAAAACTCCTTTGTAATCACAGTTTAACAACTCTCACTAGATGAGTTTTTCTGTCTTCACAGTATTTGTATAAATTATGCTTAAAGTGATACTTTATTTTTCAGATATCTGAAGCAGGAACAACCAGAGGAGTGGACAGTTGAACGTCTGGCTGAGGGTTACTCTGTCAGCCCTGATGTCATCCGGAGAGTCCTCAGGACCAAGTTTCTCCCCACTCCTGAAAAAAAGTTCAAACAGGACACCAGAGCATTGTCCGGACTCGGTCAGCAGGTGCTGCCTTCAGGAGCCGCGGCAGGGCAGGACAGGCTGAAACTGTCTGGAAACCGCACAACAGCGCTACTCCAACCTGGAAATGTTGAATCTGCCGTGGTGCCTGTGGCTGACAAGACTGTGATGCTTCGTGGTGTGGGCTCAGGATTAGTGACTAAGATTCCTGCCCCCTTTTCTCTTGTGCCCGCCCAGTTCAGAGCTGATGTTAGTAAATACATCCCTGAGACAACATCAATAGAAGAGGACAGCATTTACAACACAAATCCAACAGAGGAAGATGAAGAGGACGAGGAAAGCTGGGATGGACGGCTGTTCACAGAAGAAGAACTTGAAGAGATTATGGAAACGGTAAAGGCTTGCCCTGTGGTGCAAGATGGCAATGAGTTCTTTGATGCAGAGGGAAACTTTCTGTATCGAATCTGATGGCTTCCTGCGTTGGACTTTCCGTTGACCATGTGTTGATGATCAGGTTGTCCTTTTCATGTACAGTAATAGATTACCCAGTGACTTGGCAAACGATATATTATAACATTGCTATTAAATAAAAATCATGTGACAAAAATAGAGGAACCGAATTTATTGGCAAACCCAAAGAAAACAAACTCAAATATACATAAGAGAGACACAAAGCAGATACAAAGATGTAACCTTGTATATTTACAGAACCATCACAATGAATTATTCATTTATACAGCAGTTTTAAATCGTAAGAAAAATGCGTTACATTTTTATGAATGCAATAAACCCATAAAAAAACCTTGCCAAGTGTCTCCCAGTTTGTAGCAGCTACATAATAACCCTGTATGGAGTTAAATCTCGTCAAAGTTTCACTCAGAATTATGTATTGTGCCAAGACATGACAGAGAAAATAACCTATTTATTTTAGGCTATTTTCTTTACAAAGCTCTTTTGATTTAAATATCGAAATGTGACATGCCGTTCAGAGGGAGCTGGTATGAAACACACGTCTGTCACTGCTAAAGGATTCATGTTAGACAACAAGAGCTACTTCGGGGTGTCAGACAAACTTGATATGACTGGTTACACATAAGTTGATACAGATCATTTTCAGTAAATAGATGCTGGCCACACATTAGGAGGGCCTCGCATCTTATCCTGACACCAGGCACTTGTATAACCACATCCAATTTACTGCACTCTGAACCTGCAAGTCACAAATAAATAAAACCTGCATGAAAGCATTGTATTTCAAATAAGAAGGACAAATAATTTTGGAACAAATGTTAAAAAGTAGGAAAAAAGAGAATCCCTTTAAGACTTGAAGAGACAGTAGTATGAAGATCATTTTTTTAAAAAAACAGCAGTTTTCTGTGAAATGAGAAACCTTCGATAATAATTCAGTGTATTTGCTCAAACTGAGATGCAAATGCAAATAAAAAAACACCACGTCCACCACAACATTTCTTATTGCTTCTATGCCAAATCATATCAATGTATTCAATCATCGGAATCTGATGTAAAAAATAACTGTAGATATTTACTATCAAACTAGAATTATTTCGTACTCTGGACTTCTTTGAATCAAAATTTGTAACAGTTCAAAAGTGTGTTAGTACAAAAACTGCTCAAATTACTATAAACATGATGTGTGCATGACTACAGTGATTATTACAGACTGATCGTTAATCATTAGGTCACATTTAGGAAAAATGTCAAATTACAAACTCCTAGCATACAAACGACCTTGTGCTTTGGGCAGTTAGAACTGCAGACATACACAAATCCTGTCTTGAAACAGACACACCTTACCCCCCCTATACAGTTATGCGTAATGTGTTTCACACAATGACCATTCATCAAAAGGAACAGCTGGATACATTTGAGATATTGTGCCAATCGGATTATTTCACATGCACGGACAATAAACTGAATCTAAACATTGTTATTGCTATCAAACTTAATGCAAAAATGTAAAGCAATTTCCACTCGGGTCTTATTACTTCATCCGTGGTTCTAAATGCCATGGAGTAAAAGCACACTGGCTTTTATTCCAAATATACACTACAACAGGGGATTTCACAAATCTGTGCCAACAGAGGAGAAGGCTCAAAAACCTCACATTTACATACTCCTTGCTGTCAAATACCTTATTTAAAGCAGGGATTAAATTGTTTTGGAGAGTTATTAACCAGCTACAAATAGCAATCGTTATAACACCTAGCAAATTGTCAGAAACAGCAAAGAAGAACAGGTTTATGTACAAGTGCATGAGAAAAACGGTCTCGGATCTTCAACCAAAATGAGAAGTATTTCCAGGAGCGCTCCCAGGTGACGGGAGAAGCAGGACCCATAATGCAGTGGTGGATTTATACAAGTAGCTTCACTTCAAACCCCATTACTCTGTCAGCAGTTTAAATGACTGCATCAGTACTTCATTCCTTAAAATAAATAAGTTAGAGACTTAAACTCAATCAACAGAATCAATAACTGAAGCACAATACTACAAGACCCCCTTCCTCCCCCACTGTGGAAATAGTCCCAGGAAGCTTCCGTACATTCATCATACTTCATAGATGACAGCAGAGCAACGCAGACTCTCCATCTGATAGCTGAGGCCAAACTTCATACTAGAAGGTGAAAGGAAGAAGTAGCTGGAGACGAAAGAGACAGGAGCAGCGGTCAAAAACTGGAAGCTCAACTGTTGCTCAGTAGCATGTCAGGTTAATCCTGCTATTCCAGCATGTCCTGTACAAAGAGAAGAAAACAGATGTATATAATATCAATGAAGCCTGAAGCCAAAGCAAACAAGAACATCCATTATGGTTTTATTTACACATGCGCCCAACTCAGTTACTTAAGGAACTGTGTTCTAGGTGTAGTGAAGGACATAACTTTGTAGCGATAATTTAAAGTCATTCCCTTTTTTAAGCTACAATGAATTCTCTTACTGTTGTATTTAAAGATTGTATCATTTTTGAGGAAATTATATGTGAAAAAGGATTTCAAGGTGCAGAATATGACTACTGCTAATGATAGCTTATTAATTAATGTTTTACATTTTTTTTTCTGGTATCAGCACATACATATGTCGGCAAGGCTTAGCAGTACAGAAATTCTAAATATTTATTTAACATCATTTAGCAAGAATAACATTACACTGTTTGTCCACCAGAGGGCCCAGGAAATGTTTTTACCAGTATCCTTTCAAGTGTATTACATTACTTTTTTGCCTTCTTCACCTCCACCACCTATATAAGACACATTTGTTGTTACAGCAGGCTGTAGTTAGAGTAGACAGTTAAAGTAGACAGTAGGACTCAAGATTCAACTTGTATCCAGCATCAAGTTGTGCTGCAGATCATTCTTTGTCTGGTTTGTTTGTTTTTTCTCTGTGTCACTTCTTTATTTCTCAGAATTTGACATTACAAAGCAGCATGCTTTAAAGAAATACACACATGTTTTGGGTCTCAGCGAACAACAATGGCCCGATCTTAATAGTACAAATGTATTTGTTTTTATCTTATCCTGAGTATGAGGGAGTGAAAAGTATCCACACTGTACCTCATCTGAGTCGTCGTGAAACTCTATCTTGCCATTCTGAGTGTGGTCTGCGTCCAGGGGGTCGTCCATCCCTTCAACAGCATTGTCCTCGACATGCTGCTGCAGCACAGAGTACCTGTGAACCAGGAACCTGCAGGGCACAAAATAAATGATCCGGTAAATTTGTATCTGGAAAACACACTTAGAAGACATGATGGACATGAAAATAAATACTGAATTATAAAGATAGAGTCTGCATTTTGAACAGGCTATCCTGTATATATATATATACTATACACTAACCTGCCACCACAGACATATTTCTTGATGAAGACGACTCCGGCTGCAATGCTCAGCACCATGACGATGAGGACTGTTATCACAATGGGTGCAGACTTGGAGGAGGGACCGTCGATCTGTACAAATAATGGCAGAGGCAACTGTTAAAACTTGTGGGAACAGACACACTGAAGGCAAGCATACGACTAGAACCAATCAACATTCGTAACATTTTACAGAAGTAGGCGGAGGTACTGACCAGAAGTTCAGGGCCCACCAGGTCACTCACACACCTCTTACTGAGGTCGATCTCTTTACGCTCAGGCATCTTTCCTCCCTCGCATTTATCTCCGGGGATTTTTCTATAGCTGTGGACCAAAGACACATCAAGAGTATGATAGTTAGTTGCATATTTCCTATTACTGACACGGATAAACATTCAAAGGCAGATCGGTCTATAGCAGTTAATATCACCTAATGTTAATTTAGTTTAGATCACATCCCAGTCATATTGTAACATACAATTGTGTGTGTCACCCACTAACTTCACAAATGTATCATCTATTTAATATTATTATTTTTTTTTTTTTAAAGAAGAAGAACATGCCCCTTTTTTATATCAAAATGCAATGTTTTTTTTAAGATCCCTCCTGTTACTGTTAACACATAGATATAAAATAATGTATACACCACTAAAGTATTCAATTTCACTGGGGAAAACGTGACAGTACAGAAGTCAAACACCAATTCACTGGGAGTTCCCACAACACACAATGGTCTAACTGGATTTTCAAGTCCAACTTCAAGTTATATAGTCTTATGCACAACTAAATAAACAATCTAAAGGGATGCAGTCAATGGCAATGAAAATCCTAAAAATCCCTCTGCCCTTGCTAATTAAACATAAATACAAAATGAAAGAAGATATGTGAACCAAAAATGTCATTTTCCTTTATGGTCAACATTCACTCTCAAAACATTACACAGCACCATTACAATCTTTCAAATGGAGTCTTCGAGTGTGCAAATTAATTTGTTCTTGTTTTAACTTTATTCAATTTGATCAAGCACCCGTTCAACGTCAGATCAGACTCTGAGATGTGCGTGTCCTTCTTATCATTATTTGTTTTCATTGTTCCTCATTGAAAGCATTAGAGTCACTCTCCCCCTCCTCTGCTTCCCCTGACTGATCTCTACTTCCTCTTCCTCATTACTTCTCTACTCGGACAAACACTGACAGCTATCTTCTGTCACTATCTACCACAAAATGTGGCAATATACGTTGTTGAATATGTTTGAATATATTGTAAATAGTGAAATGGATAAATACATTATCAAGCAGACTTATCATTATAGACTAGTTGAAGTGAATCATGTAGTGCTAATAAACACAGGAGAGGATCCACACAGTCACTCACCCACTGGTCTGCAGTTGTTCCTCTTTGCCTTGCAGACAGAACTCCAGCACTTTGCCCTTCAGGTCCGGCTGCTCCACACACTCAGAGCTGTTCTCCTGACGGTAGTAACCAAAGTCACTGCAGAGAGACAAAATATCGTGAGCAAGGGTGGAAGAGAAGCCTACATGTCCTCTTGCATCTGTAATTAATTTGATTTACATGAACATTTTAATTCTCACAGTAATTTCTTTTCTCAAAGGAAAAATACTTTCCCGGATACGTTTACACTGATAATCCATACAAGTTTGACACATTTAATATGGAATGTTTCTCAAGTTACTGTAGTTTATGTTTTAAAGTGCATCCATTTTGGTTTGATTTTTGAGTTAATCAAATTTAATTGAGCAATCTTTTTTCCTTTACTTTGCAAGACCTTTACACCAACAACTTTACTTCAAATTAAAAACAATTATCGCCAGTAAGCAGTAATATTAGTATGAATTTGGGGCACATGTCTTACCACAGGAAGTCATCCAGGGTGCACGAACAGGGGGTCGGCGACGTGTTGACCGCGAAATGTCGTCCGTTCCAGCAAACAGAGTCCTTCCTGAGACGCAGGAACTTCTCTTTGTAGCCCAGCATGCAGCCATCTTTGGGGTCACTGATGTCATCAGAGTGGGCCAACCACTGCACATAGTCATCATCACCACCTGCGTTCATCAATGTTTTGTTACATATAACTCAATCAGAACACAAAATATTGACAGTCAGTTTTGTTGTATCAGACATATTGTCCTGTCACGCACAGTCTCTGGTGAGCAGATCCCTGAAGTCGATGGTGATGGAGATCCAGTACTGGCTGAGGAGGGCGTCTCTGTAGCCCCAGACACTGACGTTCATGGAGCGAGCTCCCGGCTCCGAGGCCAGGCCAGTAAAGTAGATGGGGTCTTTGGTGAAGACGTAATTACGCCAGCACTGTCCTTCATCAGTAGAATACCTGTCAGGACATTCATGAAAGTACAAACATTAGCATAACCCCAATAAATATTAAAGGTCACCTATTGTGCAAAATCCACTTGTTCATGTCTTTTACACATACACATGTGTCCCCTCTGTGTAAAGAGATTCTGA